GTATACTGACCACTCTACAATTTCTACCTTCTTAGTGGTATTACTCTGCTACACAGGCACTGAAAGAGTTTTAAAGAATAAACTCACAGCACATGAACGGAAAGGCAAGCAGGATAAACTATAATCTTTTGCTGAGTCAGCACTAAAATCAGCCCTTTTCACAAAGACCCTCAACATCTGAAAGGCTAAATCTTTGGAGAGGTGGTATTTACTTACTTCTTTCTTTATTTTTGTGGCCCATTAAATTGCTCAGAAGAAGCAAAGAGAGGCATAAAGAGCTAAATGATAAGTGTAAATGTCCAAAATTTCTTTACCAAAGAATAAATAAATAGAAGTGAGAGCAACAGAAACTTTCTTGAAATGTTTTGATTCGGCAAACCTTGAAGTCATCCAAGAAATCAATTTTTAGATCTAGATGATCAAATAACAGTCTTACGGATTTCTCTAACTTCTTACATGTTAGGCCACTATACTTTACACAAACTATAAAATCGTCTGTCATTATTAGGGGGAAGATATTGAAACAACAAATGGAAGGTTCAATGGGGTGAGGGGGGAGTCTCCTCAATCAGGGCTTATGGTCATCTAGAGCCCAATCGTGGCCGACCCATCACACAGACCCACAGACCAGGGGCTTCTGAGATGCTGAGCTGTCTCCCAAATTAGATGGATTTCATTAAATTTCCCTTCTCTGAAAACTGACCATCCAGGAAACTACAAACCATGCTGTTTGATTAATTTGTAAAACCTGTTACCACCTGTGCTGAGAGATGATTAAAGTGCTTTTTCAATAAACTGATTTTGGATCGGTGCCTACACCAGTGAAGGTATCACATATGATGCACATACATATGTGCCTTTTTAAAGCAATCTGTTGTCATGAAGATTGGTATGGGATATCTGCTATTTACAGGGCGTTGATCTAATACTGTGAAGGTTAAGCTCTAACTCCTGGAATGGAGGAGTGCCTACCTAACTCATCTGAATTTTTCTGTAGGGGAAATTTGTCTCTACAGCCCATCAGTCAGTCATTTGTTTATAGTAGTGTGGACGCAGAGGTATTTATTTCATACTAGTGGCCCGGTGCATGGATTCATGCACATTAAAAGGAAATTAATTAGAAGAAATATTTTTAAATTGCCAGTGCATGTCGGACATACAACCGGTTACTTAGCCTATTATATATATAGACTAGAGGGTCAGTGCACGAAATTCATGCATGGGTAGGGTCCCTAAGGCCTGGCTGGCAATCAGGGCCAATTGGGGCCTATCTTTGTTCTGCGCCACCTCCTGTGATCAGCGCACGTCATAGAGAGTGATCGAACTCCCAGTCTCCGGTCAGACTCCCGAGTGGACACTTTGCATATTAGCCTTTTATTATATAGGAGGGTTTGGGGTTACAACCCAATGCTATGTTATTTGTTTTCTTGTCCCAATTTTGGCCATTGGGAGCAATTTCAGGTTGGCTCTGGCATCCCTCCAACATGCCCCATCCTTTTGTTTTTGAACATTTCATTACTTTCTTCTCCTCCATGTTTTTTATCAGCAAAAAATGCCTTACTTTAAAAAAGGGCTTTTATGGGTTGAATTGTGTCCATCTCCCCCAATTCATGTTCAAGTTCTGGCCACCAGCACCTGAGAATATGACCTGATTTGAAATGGAGTCACTGGAGATGTAATTACTAAAATGAGGTCATACTGGGGTAGAGGTGGGCCCCTCGTTCAGTACGAACAGTGTCCTTACAAAAGGTGGGAATTTGGGCACCACGTGAATATCCGGGCGATGCTTCTTCGGGCCAACGAATGTCAAAAAATGCCAGCAAAACAGCAGATGTGCCCTCAGAAGGAGTCAACCTTGCTGACACCTTGATCTTGACCTTCTAGCCTCCAGAAGGGAAAGAAAATGAATGCCTGTTGTTACTCAGCTGTTGCTTTGCCATGGCAGCCTTTGCAACCGAATAAGGAGCTAATGTCATTGAACTCAGCATTCCCATGAAAAACAATGCATAAATGTGGTATCAAAAGCAGCATGAACGTCCTAACAACCATCTAAGAGTACACCGGCAATGAGAGCACGCACTTCGGACATGAACAGAGCGTGGGGGGCAGCGTTTTCAGATCCCTCCTTTCCCCTGCAGAATGGTCGGCCACCTGCAGCTCGGCTCAGAGCGCTCCCTGCCAAGCACACCTGCGAGTACAGGCAATAACCACCCATCTAGCGTAATCACCATCTTCAGCATGCTAAGTACCAGCTCGGTGAAAGCTGAGCATTTCCCAGGTGCCCCGCACAGCAAGCCTGCACGGAGCTGACACAGGAGACCCCGCCATGTCATGTCAGGTTGGCATTTCTGGTCGCTGTTTAATGACTCACTCTGCCCCATTTCCATCTTCCCTAAGTCACGTCAACAAGTGGCCAGAGGCTTAGAACGCAGCTGAATACCACCTCACTAGAAGTCATACAAACATCGTACAGTCATCCAGTATTTAGTGCCCTAAGCTCCCCCACGAACGGCTTCCAGTCCTCAGGAAAGAGAAGTGACTTGCTCTTACAGAGGTAAGACATGGAAGAGGCCGGTTAGAATCTGATCTGTCACCTCACACCACATCCAGTGACCTTCATGGAGGTGAAATCCAAGCACCGGGGTGGGTAAATATGGGAACTTTTTTCTTTCTTCAGTCAACTGGGGGACAAGGCGCTGGCGGTGACAGTACAGAATCTGGAGTCATTGTTTGGGAATCATTTTCATTAACAAAGCTCTGGTTCGTCTGCATTTTTATGCCTACGTTAAAAATCTAATGAAGTCATTAGGCTCGGGCCAGCTCGGGAAGCCTCGCCTGAGCGTGCATCCCTCCTGCAACCCCCAGAGCTCTGCTATAATCCTTCAAATTATTAAATAATTACCATGTTTCCCTTGGGTCACGCTTGGCAACAAAACACTGGTCCTAAATGAACCAACGATATGACCCAGTGAATAACACTTAATGGTCTTAACTTCCCCCAGCAGCCGAAGGATATGAAATACTTCTGAGGTCCAAGGTGGGGAATAGAGGAAGGAGTATTCTGTGAGGTCTGGAGGGTAGGGAGAGTAGAATGACAAAGGAACAAGAGAATCTGGGAAATATTCCAATACCTGGTGTCATCTCCTCCCCCACCAACCCTGTATGTCGGCGATTCTCCACTCTCATCCTAGTTCCCTTCCAGATTTCAGGAGTGGCTACAGCCACCAGAAGAGAACCAGGCATATGGCTCTGTCCTTCTGGACGTTTCTACAACGTTGGCTGGGTTGCTCTGGAAAATCCCATTCTATCTCCGACAGCTCTGTGACCTCAAGTTGTCATTTCCAATCAAGTATGCTTCCACTGATTTTTATGAACATAGACAGAAGCTGCTACAACCGTTTCTTCCCCTCCCAAATCTTTCAAACCTACTGTAGTTGCTATGTTAGGTTATTTGTTTCTAAGGCAACAGCGTATATCTAAGTACTAATGGCCTGTCCTTTTGCCAGGCAACAAACAGCCTTGTGATGCAACTGCACCTGTCTCGGCTACGCGTTACTATGGAGACGCTCTGGTTGCTATGGATACCATCACGCTAATCGCCTAGCAAAAGCAGACATACAGCAGTCTTCTCAGAGAGCCCAGCTGTTCCTCCCCGTCTCTTGCTGAAGACTGATTGTCTACCCCTGTGATGGAATGCTCTCAACTGAGATGCGCAGGAACTTCATTAACGCCGTTTCCGAGCATCCCCCTGCTCCATTCTGCAGAGCACAAGGCGAGAGGAAGGATCTGCAGAGCCGTGGACCACAAAACTGCTGAAATCTATGAAGTCACGCCACTTCTCATTGACATAAACCCGCAGTCCAAGGGTAATTTCTCTTCGCTGGATGGTCACAACAGAAACATCACTAGACATTAAAAATTACTCTTTTACCCTAGCTCAGTGGTCGGCGCACTACGGCTCCCGCCACACACC